CTTCTCCCAGCTGCTTGGCGGAGTTTCAGTCAAAGTGCTTCCCTCAGCAGTCCTGAATGTCACCCACTGCGTGTGTGTGTGTGTGTGTGTGGTTTCAGCCGGTGACGGATGCAGAGAAGCACTCGGCCTCCACAGGAACTCACCAGGCCTGGACGGGGGAGGAGCTGAGGAGGGACGGCGGGCCGGACGGCGGGGTCAGGATGGACTCGGGTTCCAAGTGGAGCCGCAAGACCCCCTCCGACATCTCGGACGAGTCGGACAAAGGCGGCTCGGGGAGGAAGGCCCCCCCCGCGTCCCACACGGGCTCCTGGAGGAGAGGCATGAGCGCCCAGGTCGGGGTGACCTCGCCCCGGACCAAAAGCGCCGCCGGCTCCACGGGCTCCGTCGGCCTCAAGAGCCACGGCTCAGGTAACCCGGACGCCCCCAGAAGGACCCACGAACCTGGCACCGGATCCGGTTCTGGCTCCAAATCCGGCTCCAACTCCGGGTTCATTTCCAAATCCGGTTCGGGTTCTGGCTCCAAATCACGCTCCGGTTCTGGCTCCGGATCCAAATCATGGTCCAAATCCGGTTCAGGTTCCAGTTCTGGCTCCGGTTCTGGCTCCGAATCCAAATCTGGGTCCAAATCCGGCTCCGGTTGCAGCTCCGAATCCAAATCTGGGTCCAAATCCGGGTCAAATCTGGAACCGGTTCTGGCTCCGAATCCAAATCTGGGTCCAAATCCGGCTCCAGTTCCGGCTCCGGCTCCGAATCCAAATCTTGGTCCAAATCTGGCACCGGTTCCGTCTGCAAATCCGACTCCGGTTCCGACTCCGACTCCAGTTCCGGCTCTAAATCCGGCTCCGGCTCCAGTTCGGGTTCTGGCTTTGGCCTCGGTTCCGGCCCAAATCCGGCTCCTGTTCCGACTGCGATCAAAAACCAGCTCCGGTTCTGGCTCCAGATCCAAATCCAGGTCACATCTGGCTCCGGCTCTGGCTCTGACTCCAGCTCCGGCTCCGGTTGATCTCTGTCTTTGCCCCCGCAGCTAAGACGGACGACGTGAAGGTGTCTGAGAAGGGCCGGCTCTCGCCCCGCTCCAACGGCCTGCAGCGCTCGCCGTCGGACGCCAGCGACGAGGCCAAGAAGCAGCCGGCCCCCCCGGGCCGCCCGCCCGCCACCGCGTCCGACCCGCACCCCCAGGCGCACGCGCTGGCCTCGCGCACCCCCACCAGCACCTTCGGCTTCAAGAAGCCGGG